GTGGCGTGTACTGGGAGGGCATCGACCAGCCTCTTCCACCTGGCGTCACTGTCACCTCCTGGCTGGGCAAGGCCTGGAAACCTGGTATGTGGGGTAGGGGAGCCATGACACATGCCCCAGGGCTCAGCACCTTGATGACTGAAAAGCCTTCTCAAACCACAGCCATCTTCCAGGATCTCCGCAAGGCACCGCACTGGAAGTTATGTTTGCAGTTTCCAAACCCAGGAAAGGTCTCAGTTCATATCCCAACTCCACCAAGTACTGGCTTTGTGACTTAGCTAAATTGCTTAACCTCCTCAGCTTCAGTTTTCCTGTCAGTTGAATGAGGGTAGCGGCACCTATCCCATAAGGTCGAAGGATTATGTTGAATCCTTCGGGATTATGTTGAAGGATTATGTTGAAGGATTAAATGCACATAAAGGGTTTAGCGTAGTACCGAACACATTGTAAATCTGCAATAAATATAAGCTGGGTATTTTTTTAAAAAGAAAAGGGAAGGACGGTTTTGAAAATTATTTTAAAAGAAATAGGGCTCAAAGCATAATCCATAAAGTTTGACCTATTAGGAAAGGAGGAAGCCTGCCCCTCCTCCTGCCACTTAGTTCCCTCCATCCCTCTGTGTAATAACTACTGCCTGAAGTTCAGTATTGTTACCCTCACCCCTCCCCTGCCCCTCTAACACATACACTCTAAAACTTCTTCCAGACTGAATCAGACCCGTTCTTTAGCCTTTCCTGGAAGTTAGTTTCTCAACACTGTCCATATTCCCCACGCCTGCAGTCCCGCCCCTCCCCCAACTCTGCACTCTGACCTCCAACGTTCAGTGGCCTTCAGCAGTCAGAGAGCTCAGAGACCTGGGTAGGGACGGGAGCAAAGAAGAGCATGGTGGGGGAGGGCCGCCTTGTGGTCACTGAAGCCTGCGTTCAGGTTTTCCAAGATGACCTAGCAGTCGCCCTTGTCATCTAAATCACCCTTTATTTTCTGTAACGTCATCATTAAGCTCTCCTCAGCCTTCTACCCAGCTGAGAAATCCAAGGAAATTTCATATTCCCCTACAGGCTAATTCCTCAACCCTTTCATTATCTGTGGATTCAGGGGTGTAACTAGGGCATGTGGTGCCCAGCTTGTTCCCAAAATAACACCTTATGCTAGGGTCATGAATTGGGGGCTGATGAAAGTGCAAGAGAGAAGCGTAAAGGATGGCTTTTGTTGGAGGCAGGAGCTGGGGGGTGGGAAGCGGGCAGGGGGTGCTGGCTCTTTAAATCCCTTGCCCTCCCCCCCAGGTCTGACCAGAAACCTCCACAGAGAAGGCACCATATCCATTTAGGGTACCTGGGGAAATCACCAAAATTCTGTTAGTTTTAAAGTCAATTCCTATTTGCACTTTGGTAGCTCAGGAGATTTTCATCTTACTGCATTTGCTGATGAAAGGTCAATTGTCTAAAATACTCACCAGAGAGACTCAGTTTTTGCTTTAGGTTTGAGTACTTATTTAAATAATATCCCATAAATAAAGTAAATCATTTCTGGGGGGGAATTATGCCAACATCTAACCCCATTCTTTTGAGCACTGGCTAATGCCACATGGCTATAGTTTGGCATAAACATTAGTACCCCGCTTAATCCCACTTCCTCTCCTACCCTTTTCTCACATAGCTCAGTTGTCAGTACCATTATGGATAAATAAGCTGATCTTTTAGGGGAGATGTCCTGTTTCCCTACTCCCTACCACATGAGATTGCAGGGAGCGGATGAGTTAAAAAGAAATTGTGCAAGAGTGCATGCACGTGTGTGCTAGGTGTGGCTGTGCTCTGGGAAATGGTAGTATTTGTATTTCCTCTGCCAGGTGACAAGGAGCCCTGTGCACATCCCAACTCTCGCTTTTGTGCCCCGGCTCGCCAGTGCCCCATCATGGACCCAGCCTGGGAGGCCCCTGAGGGTGTCCCTATTGATGCCATCATCTTTGGAGGGCGAAGACCCAAAGGTAAGTATCGTGTGGACTCCATGCCTTCTCGGTAAAGGATCTGGTTCTATATCAGGGCCCATCCCCCTCTTGTACTTAAAGCCCCAGAAGCCTCAGCCTGGATTGCCAACTGTAGCTATCTGTCTCCAGAGCTCTCCCCTGGAGAATGCAAAACTGCGGGGAGATGTGAGGTTTGAAAATGGGACAGCTGAGGTCCTAAGAGAGAGAGATTAGGAGTCAGAATCGCCAGAAAGGATGGATGAGTCCAATAAAAAGGACTGCCTGTTACCCCATTCACTGGTGTTCTAGGAGTGCCCCTGGTATATGAGGCCTTCAACTGGCGCCACGGAGTGTTTGTGGGCAGTGCCATGCGCTCTGAGTCCACTGCTGCAGCTGAACACAAAGGTGCGCACTTTCCATTGCTCCTCTCCCATGTGCCCCGTTGCCTCTTCTCCCCCTGCCTGAGCCAGACCTGCCTCCTGCCCAGCCCCTCCCCCACCCCTTTTCACCCTGCCCCAAGGATATCCTAGAACCATGAACATTTTACAGCCTCCTGGAGCTGGATGCCAGATGCCCTTCTCTTTTCCTAACACATCCTCTCCCCTCCCCAGGGAAGGTCATCATGCATGACCCATTTGCCATGCGGCCCTTTTTTGGCTACAACTTTGGGCGATACCTAGAACACTGGCTGAGCATGGAGGGGCACAAGGGGGCCCGGCTGCCCCGCATCTTCCATGTCAACTGGTTCCGACGTGATGATGCAGGCCGCTTCCTGTGGCCAGGCTTTGGAGAGAATTCTCGAGTGCTGGACTGGATCTGCCGGCGGCTAGAGGGGGAGGACAGTGCCCGAGAGACACCCATTGGGCTAGTGCCAAAGGAAGGCGCCTTGGATCTCAGTGGTCTGGGAGCCATAGATACCACCCAGCTGTTCTCCATCCCTAAGGACTTCTGGGAACAGGAAGTTCGTGACATTAGGAGCTACCTGACAGAGCAGGTCAACCAGGATCTGCCCAAGGAGGTGCTGACTGAGTTGGAGGCCCTGGAGGGACGTGTGCGCAGAATGTAGTCTGAGGCTCCGGTCTAGCCAGAAAGCACAGCATATCCCTATCCTCCACTGTCACCTAGGAACAGAAGAGCCACCAGGGTTGCAGAAAATATGAGCAATTTGATGTAACTAACATCCCGTGGGTGCCTTGAGACCAGGCCACAGGCCTTTCCCCATATGCTGTCTATCCTACATGCTATCCAATAATGAGAGATGCGCATTTATTTTATACAACATTTGTGTTTTCATTTCGCACTTATCTTCACAGACTTCCCTCTAACATGAATTTTATAATCTTCTTCCAGCTCCTCCCAGTAGCTGGTGTCCCACATGTAGCTCTACCTTTGGGCCACCTAAGAAGGAATTAATTGCTGGGAGAAGGCACTATCTGCTCTGTGTCCTGAGGTCATAAAAAGTAGAGGCCTCTGGGAACTGCTCAGTATATCCTCCAGGCCTAAAATTCCTGATCTTCCGCTCAGACTAGCAGAAACCTCTATAACCCCATTCTACAGTGAAGTGGTTCCATTGTTAGTTCTCAAAACTGTTCTTCCTCCTATCTGAAATTGGGACTCACAAAGTATACATGAAAGCTTATTCAGTATTTAGGACAGCTAATACTTCGATAGCATTTTCTCAGGCACTCTTCTAAACATATTAGAAAACAAACTTTTGAGGCAGGTACCATTTTACAGATGAAGAAACAAAGGCACAGAGAGGTCAAGTAATTACCAAAGGTCGCACAGTAAACAGTAGGGCCAAGGGTAAACGATAACTGGAAACATGTCTCTCACAGCAATGTAGACTTGTAGAGCTGTAAGGATCTGAGATGTTACCTGTTTCATGCTTCTCAGACTTAAAAGTGCCTATGAATCATCTGGGGATCTTAGTAAAATGCAGATTCTCATTCAGCAAGTCTAGAGTAGCCCGGAAATTGTTTTTCTTACAAGCTCCTCGATGATGCTGATGCTGCTGGTCCAGGGACCATAGTTTGAGTAGCAAGGCCTTGGCCTAAACTCTGAAATCAATTTTAGAAGGAAACCACAAAAAGAGTGATGATCCCACATAACTCAGGGGCATTAGCTGAGGATAACTTCACCTGTGATCTGGGTCAGGCTTAGTGAATGTATAAACTGAGGTGGATAAGACAGAAGTCTGTACCCAGGAAATGAGAATAAACTTCAACAAATAACATAGAATTATTGAGAAGTCCCTCAAAAGAAAACACAGGAGGAAGAAACACCAAGCGTTCTAGAAAATAGCCAATAACCTGCTACAATGTGTAAGAGCAGAAGAGGCTCTAAAGGTCAGAGTGGGTCCCATGCTAAAATACACTGAGCAATGGAATCCACTGCACTTAAAAGTATGCAGACAAATCCTCAGCTTCATAAATAGCGATGCCTGAAACAATATGATCAGAGGCAGCATAAATTAAGCACATAGTAGACTCAGGCCAGTGGCTGTGCCTCTCAGTTCCTTTATCTGTAGAACACAGATGTGCCGACAACTTACAGTGCTGTTAAGATTAAAAGTCATGCCCTGACTGATGTGACTCAGTGGTTTGGGCATCATCCCACAAACCAAAGGTCACCAGTTCAATTCCCAGTCAAGGCACATGCCTGGGGTGAGGGTCAGGTCCCTGACCAGGGGCATGGGAGAGGCAACTGATTGATGTTTCTCTCTCACATAGATGTTTCTCTCCCTCCCTTCCCATCTCTCTAAAATAAATACATACATATAATCTTAAAAAAAAAAATTAGGAGTCAGTGGTGCCAGGCACTCAAAACTATGCCTGGCATAGAACAACCTTTGAATATGTTAGCCGCCCTCACCTTTCTGCTCTATATTGATTAGACTAGGCTATAGAAGCCTGTATTATATATTGCTGACTGTGAAGTTTAAAAGTAAAATGAACAATATAAGTAAAATTTAGAGGAGAAAAAGTCAGTTTGGAAGTAAGTCCCTCCCGGAAAGAGGCAGGTAACTGGGATTCCAGGCATCTTTCTGGTATCTAAATGCACAGTGATGTGAAGATGTTAGCCTTCAAAAATAATTTTGTCTATGACAATAAAACTGGGCTGCATGCCTAGAGCTCCAGATAAATAAGAAAAATTGATAACACATTTTAATTAACATTTATTTTTAAATAAAACAGGTACAAAAAACCATACAAAACAAAGGTATAGCTTAATAAAGTGAATAGCCTTGAAACCATCACCTAGAGAAACAGAACTTTGCCAGATCCCAAAAGTAGTCCCCCGACACACACCTCCCCTCCATCTTCCTCTGTGCGTCTCCATCTCAGTGCCTTCTTCCTGGCATAAATGAATACTATGGTGCACCATAATTACTTGCTTTTTTTTTTTTTGTAGTTTTATCACCAAAATGTGGACCCCTAGACATAATAGTTTAGCCTTGTCCAGTTTTCAAAAATTTCACATGCTTTTTAAGTCTTTCAACCTACAGGTTCCCCTTCCATTTCTTTCTTTTACCTCAATTTAACCATTGAAGAATCCAGGTTTAGATGTTCAATGCTTATACTCATTTATTGGGGATTTCGAAGCAGCCATATCTAAGCTCTATCATAATAATTGGAATACTTTTATAAAGGGACACACCCTTTATCTGCTATTCATTACCCTTGGGTACAGTTTATATAGGAATAGCAAGATAACTGCTTCTTTTTCTTTATTTACCATCTTCAAAATAATGTTTTCTTATCTTCCAAAGGTGATCAATTAGTTAACACACATACACACACACACAAACCCCATTATAAACTCATAGATTTAAACATAATTTATTTTTATTTTTTTAATTTGTTGATTTGAGAGAGAAAAAGGGAAGGAGGAGGGAGGGGGATGGGGGGGAGAGAGAGAGAGAGAGACATTGATTTGCTGATCCACTTATTTATGCATTCACTGGTTGATTCCTGTATGTGCCCTGGTGGGGACAAAACCTACAACCTTGGTGTATCAGGACAATGCTCTAACAAACTGAGCTACCCACCCAGGGCTCCTCAACATGTTTATTAAATTATCCTTGTTAATGCTCAAATTATCCCATCCTTGGCCCTCAGAACTTGGCTCCTTAGTCCTTTTGACATTACCCTGATAGTGTTCGCTGTCTTCTTTGCTCTCTGGTATGATAAATTGTTCCACACTCATCTTGCACATTTCCTGTCCTGGGCCTGGAATCAGCTATTTCTCCAAGCTCTGGTTTGTTTCTATGGGAGATGGTATTTTAACATATGGGTAGCAGGAGAGAGATCCAAGATGGGGGAGGAGTTAAGTGGAAGCTACACTAACCTCCTCCAGGACCGATCTGAAATTACAACTAAATTGTAGATAAATCATACTGAAGATATGGGTGGCAGGAGTATTCATTGATTCTGGATTGGTCATTATTTCTAGACCTTTTCAGTGGATAGAGATCAAAAGATAACACACCTAATGAGTTCATACTGATAGTTCCTATTTAAACTTAGGGCTCAAGGGTTTTTAACTTCTTCTACATCACATCTGTACCTCCTGTCCACCACACAGAAAATTCTGGTTCTCAAGGAGGACATAGGACATTAAAGTATTAGAAATCCCATAATTACTCAATTGCTTTATAGTCAACACTTTTAAGTCGTGGATAAATTAGCATACTTTTCCCTTTCCTCTACACAGAGAATGCTGCAAGAAGATAACATATAAACACATCATCAGTCACTTCGGAAGTTTCCCTTTTGTTGCTTGGAGCTCTATGTAGTCACCAGGCTGGAAGCTGCGACGAGGGAGAGGAAGGGCAGTGTTAGGGAAAGAAAAATTTGCTGTCCTCTCCCCTCTTTATCCTAGCCCGCCCTCTAGTGGAGATGCTTAATGAGCAGGAAACAGCCCACGTCGGGTCACACAGGAAGTAGACTAGCTGACATTTACCTAGCAATCACCCGAACCACCGATCCTAAAATGGGTGCTAAAGGTAGAAGACATCTCAGTGGCTGACAGTGGCAGAAGACAGCTCAGAAGCTGCCCAAACAAAAAGCACTTTACAAATTGTCACCAAGCAATATGCCAAATTTCAAAATCATGAGAAAGAAGACCAAAAGAGTTTATCAAAATGACTTAATTACAATTATTTTTAAAGAAATGCCATTTTGACAATGGGGTAAAAAGTCTATTCAGCAACTGATGTTGGGAAAATGGGACAAATATATGCAAAAAAACGAAACTAGACTCACCTTCTTACACCATATACAAGAATAAACTCAAAATGGATTAAATATTTAATGTTAGGCCCTGACCAGTGTGGCTCAGTTGGTCGCGTGTCAGGATGCGTACCACCCATCAATGTTTCTCTTTCACATTGATGTCTCTCTCCCTCTTTTTCTCTCTCCTTCCCTTCCCCTCTCCCTAAAAACAAATAAATAAAATCTTTAAAAAAGACTTAACTGTTACACTTGAAACCATAAAATTCCTACAAGAAAACATAGGGAGTAAAATCTTGGACATTTCTCACAGCAGTAATTTTTCTGATATATTTTCTCAGGCAAGAGAAATAAAAGAAAAAATAAACAAATAGGATTATAGCAAACTAAAAAGTTTTCGCACAGCAAAGGAAACCATTAACAAAACAAAAAGACAACCTACTGAATGTGAGAACATATTCACCAATGATACATCTTAAAAAAGGTTATCTAAAATTTATAAAGACCTCACACAACTCAACACCAAAAAAACAAACAATCCAACTTTAAAAACAGGCAGAGGACCTCTTCTCCAAAGATGACATACAGATGTCCAATAAACGTATGAAAAGACGCTCAACTAATTAGCAGAGAAATGCAAATTACAACAATAACGAGATATCACCTCACACCTGTCAGGGTGGCTCTCATCAATAAATCAACAAACAAGTGTTGGCCAGGATAAAGAGAAAAGGGAAGCCTCGTGCACTGGTGGCGGGAATGCAGATTGATGCAGCCACTATGGAAAATAATATAGAGGGTCCTCAAAAAATTAAAAATGGGACTGCCTACCCCCCAGAGATTCTGCTTCTCAATAAGTAGCAGAAGGAACCCAAAATACTAATTCAAAAGAATATACGGGTATGCACCCCTATGTTCATTGCAGCGTTATTTACAATAGCCAAGATAAGAAAGCAACCCAAGTGTCAGTAAACAAGTGGATAAAAAAGCAGTGGTACATAATGTACAATGGACTATTACTCAGCCATAAAAAGAGTGAAATCTTACCATTTGAAACAGCATGAATGGACCTAGAGGATATTATGCTAAGTGAAGTCAGACAAAGACAAGAATTTTAGTCCTAAAAACCTCAGGGTTTTTTAAAAATTACTTTAATGACTTTTATATGTTTATTCATTAATGTACAAATTCTGTATTTCAAAGGCTTGAATTTGGATTTCATTGAGTTTTAAACTGTATTTGTAAGTGCTATGGAGAAGAGGCCAAGGAAAAGAGGAAAGGGGTCATGAAAAAAATGTATTATTAAGATGAGTTGATGCCCTGGCTGGGTAGCTCAGTTGATTACAGCATTGGGCCAATGTGCCAAGGTTGTCGGTTCAATTCCCAGTCAGGACACATACAAGAATTAATGAATACATAGATGGGTGGAACAACAAATTGCTCACTCTCTCTCTCTCTCTTTCTTCTCCCTTCCTCTCTCTTAAAATCAGTAAATAAAGGGAAAAAAAATTTTAAAAAAAAAGATGACTTGAACAGTTTTTGTCTTTTGTGAACCTCGGATGTTCCAGTTGTATTAATCATAATGCAATGTTCCTGCTATACCTTTGTCACTAATTCATGAAAAGCCTTTTTCATTTTGCTATTGATTTAAGGATATAAAAAAACCTGGGTATTAAAGCATATTGTTTTTGCATCCACCGCAGTATGCCACCAGAACTACCACCGTTTTTAAGGCCTACCAATGTTAAATTGAACAGTTTTCCACAGCATTAAGATAGATTACATCATTTTAATATCTACCCGGTATTTCTGTGTCCTACCACATAGACCATAACTTATTTTACCAATCCCGTTCCACACTGTAGTATATTTGTTTATATTGTACTGATATCAACAGTAGTAAAATAAGAGAGGGTACGATTGTACAGACACAAGTCCCTGAAGCTGGCCCTGGTGACCAGAGATAAGCTCGAGTCTAGCAATCTAGAGACCAAGAGGCGTCACCCAAAGGGCTGACCACACCCTCGCCCTCCTAGGGAGGGTGAGGCCCAGAAAGCCCAGGGGAATTAGGGGCCCTTGCTCTCCTCCCTGTCTTCAGGGGACTCTAGACCCGGGACAGCTCGAAGCACTTCTAAGGGAGTTGAAGGCCAGGGCCCTGAGGTGCAGCTTCGACCCGAACCTTTACACCCGTCAGGGCGAAGTCACTCGACCCAGATCCTCCGCCCCCCTTACTGGGCGATGATCCGGAGAAGTGGTCAGTCGCAACCTCGCACTCATCCGGGTTACTCAGAAACCTGGAGAAAGGGATAGGAAGCGGAGTACCTGCACAACCTAGACCGGTTGCCGGGGACGGAAAGGTGAAGGCAAGGACTGAGGATCTAGGGAAGGTCTGCGATTCCTTAGGGCCCAGGGGAAATGACGGAACCAGAAAGGCCCTTAGAAGCCCAACGGTGTGTTAGGGAGCGTCTGCAAAGAACGCAGAGGGAAGCCAGGGGTCATCTAAAAAGTTATCAAAGCGGCTAAGGGGATGTCCAGAAAGAGCGGTTCCCACAAGAACAAGGCTTTCAGAAGCTAAACGCAGAAGGGAGGGTATGCAGGCTTGAGTCCCCATCTATGACGAGAACACAGCCTCTAAGGGCCGGTACGCCTTAAGGTAGGGCCGCCTAAAGCAATGAACGAAAAGAGGAAGGTTGGAGCCGGCGGGAAGGGGAGAGGGAAAAAGATGAGGGCCTCAGCGATCATCGAAAAGTGCAAAGTCACAGAAACTTTTAGGGACCGACAACAAACTGTATCCCTTGCTAAGACACCTCTCGGTAGCTAAACACCAAACTTCTTTTTTGTTGTTGTCATCGTTGTTTTCTTCAAACTTCTTTTGTAAACCCCACCCCCTCACCCATTAATTCCGTTGTCCCCGACACCGAAAGCACCCGGTTCCCCACTTACTCCTCTCAACAAGTAACCACCGACCCTAGCTAGCGTGGTTCAGTGGATTGAGTGGTTCAGTGGATTGAGCGTCGGCCTGGAAACCAGAGGGTCGCGAGGGTCGCCCGTTCGATTCCCTAGTGTAGGGTTGCAGGCCAGGTCCCCAGCAGGGGGCGTGCGAAATGCCACCACACAGTGATGTTCCCTCTCTTTCACAATCTAAAAATAAAAAAAAAAAAAAACCCACAGTAGCGAACGCCCTCCCTAGGTCAAGGGCTTTCTCCTCCCTCACAACCCATCATGCACTTTCTCCCACCCACCTGTCAATCACCACGCCCAACTGTCCAGTTAGCGGGCCAAAGGGGCGGTTCTGTTAGGGGAGTCGCGTGACGTCGACGGTCCGCGGGCCGGCAGCTGGGAGATGAGTGACGAGGGTGTCGCGTGAAGGAAGAGCGGTTGGTCTAAGCTGTGGCGGCGGTCGGTGTAAACAAGGCGTCGCGCCCCTGTCGCGCCCCTGCAGGTCCTGCTACTGCTCCTGGCTGGTGGGTGCTCTAGTGCGAAGCGGTAACCGCCGGCTTCAGTGGGAGGGGCCTCTCGGCCTCTTCCCTGCCTCCCCACCTTGGTGTACAAACACCCCCCGCCCCAGCACACCACGTGGGCGTGAGGCTAGGAAGGAGGGGGTGTTAAGCCTAATTCTAACGTCATTGATTGTCGCTGCTTCCGACTTTCGAAGGGAGCATTCTGAGGGAGCATTCTGATTGGTCGGTAAGGGGGGCGTCGGGGGCGGTCTTTGAGTCCTAAGGCTTCTGATTGGCTAGCGTGAGGGGTTTTGATTGGCCGGCCAGAGGTTACGAGGACTCCACACGGTCCAGGGACTTTGATAGGTGAGTTTGAGGTAGAAGACTGAGAAATTTCTCTTCAAAGGGTTCTTATTGCTAAGCTAGGGTAGCTCCCTAGGCTTCTTTTTTTTTTTTTTGCTTCGCAAGGCTGGGGAAGGTGTGTAACTGAGGCATTAGAGTTCTCACAAGCTAAAGAAAAAGGGATCCCCTCGGTCCCTAGGAAGTGTCGCCTTCCTAGAGATAGCTACCCCTATCTCAGGAGACCCTAGCATTTCTAGAGCAGGCTTTACTTTCACCAAACCCAAGGAGGTGACAGGAGGAGCCCCTGCACAGGGCTTAAGGATGCTGTGACCAGAAAATGGGATCCCGGAACAGCAGCAGCGCAGGAACTGGGTCCGGAGACTCCTCCGAGGGCTTGCCCCGAAGAGGGGCTGGCCTGCGTCGGAGTGAAGAAGAAGAAGAGGAGGATGAAGATGTGGATCTGGCCCAGGTACTGGCCTATCTCCTTCGCAGGTAACTTGCCCCCTGGTGTGTCCCCACCAGGTGTCACCACAGTCCCTTGATCCCAACTCCAAGCCAGAAGTTACAGAGGACAGGGAATGGGATTAGACCAGGACAGTTGTTCTGTTTGAGCAGAACAGGCTTTTCTCCTGGATACTCATAGCACTCAGCTCCATACCTAGTAAGAGTGGTTCTTGCCTAGGGTCAGCCAGATAACTTACTCTTGTGTTTGAGGGGGGACTGTTCAAGGGAGCCTCTCTAGCCATGACTACCCAAATGTAAGGTATTTTACAAGTAAGTAAAAAAAAAAAAAAAAAAAAATGGGGCCGTGGTGGGAAAGGAGTGATGTAAGGGGGTGAAGAGAAGAGTTGGGCAGGTAGATGTTGAACTTTAGTGAAGTTAATTGCATGTGATATGAGGCTATGTGGATTTACTTGAAAAACAAATTTAAATTAAGCTAAATCTAATCCTGCTCTTGAAAAAAGAATGCTTTGAGGAAAGTGACCCCAGGAGTTGACTGGAAAGGGAGTGAAAATAGATTTGTTTCTTAGCTGTGGTTTCTTGAGGAGAAGACAATCTTAGGGATCCCCTCAGAATACTGTGTTCTATGCTGGACTCTGTGGGTAGAGGCTCAGAAGGAAATGCTCTCAGAATTTTTAACTCTTTGGGAAGTCAACTTTGTAGGTCTTTTCAACCTCCATGTAATTTTGGGGTTCTCTACTCCTGCTGAAAGAGTGAGAATTAGTCTTATAGGAGACTGCCAATAATAGCCAAGGTCTAGTCAGCCTCAGGCCTCAAAATGGGAACAGTATGAAGATTTGAGTACCAGTGGCCCAAGAGCTGGATAGCTATGGACTCTGAATGCGGTTGGTTTGGGAAAGGGATCCTCCCCCTTTATCATGGGTGGGGGGGGTCTCTCCACAGGGGCCAAGTGAGGTTGGTGCAGGGAGGAGGTGCAGCAAATATACAACTCATCCAGGCCCTCTCCGACTCGGAGGAAGAACATGACAGTGCCTGGGATGGTCGTCTTGGGGACCGATACAACCCACCTGGTAAGAGGAAAAGCAGGCCAAGATTCTAACATCAGAAGATTTTCATTAGCCATGGTTGGTGTGGCTCGGTGGATTGAGTGCCAACCTACCAACCAAAGGGTCACTGGTTCGATTCTCAGTCAGGGCACATGCCTGGATTGCGGGCCAGGTCCCCAGCAGGGGGCACGTGAGATGCAACCACACATTGATGTTTCTCTCCCTCTCTTTCTTCCTCCCTTCCCTTCTATAAAAATAAATAAATAAAATCTTTATTTTAAAAAAAGACTTATTAGAAAACTGTTTAAAAAAATTTGGCAAAGAACAATAAATTAAATTGAAAAAAGATAAGGTAATTCCAGTAATGAGGGAATCCTTGCAGACCCAGTATATGCAGGCACATTGAGTGGGCTTGTGCACAATTCTGCCAGCTGTCCTGTGGGGCTGGAAGACCTAGGATGAAACTTCTCCTTGGTCCTCACAGTGGATGCAACCCCTGACACCCGGGAGCTGGAATGCAATGAGATCAAGACGCAAGTGGAATTGGCCACAGGGCGGATGGGGCTTAGGCGGTCGGCCCGGGAACACAGCTTTCCTCAAATGCTGTACCAGGTAGGCTTCCACCTCCCGCTAGGATGGCAGCAGGTCTGTCAAGGTAGCCAGAAGCTCTGCTAGCCCCAGAGAAGAAAGAAGTAAACTTTCCAAAGAAATCTCAAGTGCTAGAGCTGGAGAGTTCTTAGCCAGCCTGCATCAGAATTTTGTGTGGAATTATGTGTGGTATCCATTTCTGTTAACAAGGGCAGTAACTTTGGAGGAGGGGGCTTGGTATGGCTGAAGTGGCCCTGTGTTTCTGCTAGCAATATTCCCCAATCCTTTCCTTTAGAGAGAACGGGGACTCTGCCACCAGGGAAGCTTCTCCCTTGGAGAACAGTCTCGGGTGATGTCTCAGTGAGTATGGGGCTTATCTTCCACATTTTGAAGGAATAAATGTTAAAGGATCCTCAGGCATATTAAGGTTGTGTTAAGTAGGGTTGAAACTTTGAGAGCAAACAAAGTGGAAAAGTATAGAAATTGAGAGGATGATAGAATGAATGAAACAAAGATCGTACCCAAAGCCAAAAGGGAATAATGCCCTTGTACTCACATCCAGCTCTGTTAGGATTCAGCTTAGCTCCCATTACCTTAGCTCCTCATCCTTAGCTCCCATTACCCTCACTTTCCCTTTTCTTCCCCAGCTTCTTGCCCAATGATCTGGGCTTCACTGATACTTACTCTCAGAAGGCTTTCTGTGGAATCTACAGCAAAGATGGTCAAATCTTCATGTCTGCTTGTCAAGGTACAAGACCCTAGTCCTGTGAACTGCCCCAGAACAAGGACTGTAGCCTCTGGCTGAGGCTACAAAGCCTCAGCCCCTGACTTACAGATGCTTAGTCAGAGCACGTTTTTCAGATACACTGAGAGAGGTCTAATCTGGGGAGGATTCAAGGAATGCATTCCCTAATTTTGTCTGGCCCCCACTTACACAGACCAGACAATCAGACTGTATGACTGCCGGTATGGCCGCTTTCATAAATTCAAGAGCATCAAGGCCCGGGATGTAGGTTGGAGTGTCCTGGATGTGGCCTTCACCCCTGATGGGAACCATTTCCTATACTCCAGCTGGTCTGATTATAGTGAGTATGCCCCAGACTTCCACGGTCTCTCCAGCCTGGGACCTGAGATCTCCAAACACCCACCTCCTCTGTGCAGGACTCTACGCCTTCTCCTGGAAAGACCACTCCCAGGGCCTGACACCCTGACCCGTTGTTCCATCTCCTCTCTAGCTTCATTCCCACCTGCCTTCCCCCAGCCCTGAAAGATTCTTGTTTCTCTTGCTTCTCTTAGTTCATATCTGCAACATCTACGGGGAGGGAGACACACACACTGCCCTGGATCTAAGGTACTGGCTTCCCTTCCTGGTCAGACTCATCAGAAACTTCTCAAGGAAGGCTCTCCAGGAGCAAACCTCTTGAACTGGAACTCCTGCTTAGAGGGAAAAGTACACTGGTTGCAAGTTTCTCTGTGTGGATTCCCGGGAGGGACCCACCCATCCTGTCAGCAGAGGACCAGGGTAAAATAGATGGTTGCAGGATTATTTCTGGGTTCTCCCCGAGGTGATCTACATTCTGGCTTATGTTGGCAGGACTTCCTTTCCCCTGATAAGTGTGCCTTACAACCCTCATCAGATTCTATGTGGATTAGCAAAGGCTGAAGGGAAGTGCACTTAACCAGCTCCTCCTTTGCTCTCTTCAGGCCAGATGAACGTCGCTTTGCAGTCTTCTCCATTGCTGTCTCCTCAGATGGAAGAGAAGTGCTAGGAGGGTGAGTGTTTGTGGGAGATGTTGCTCTCAATTAATGAGACAGAGTCCTCCCAGAGACCTGCCTTGCTGTTACAGAGACAGTACTGGATACCCCTACCCAGGCAGCTACGGAAAACAACCAGCTCTTCTCCAAGGTCAAAGTTTATGACTTGCTTCATCTCTTGCTCATTATTTCCCCAGAATGAGATGGGAGGTCTCAAACCTCCTCATAGACACAGCTAACTTTTCTGTCTCTTGTGTAAGAAGAGACAAGGGTTTGCTCCTCAGTAGGGCTTCACAACAGGGACTCTCCAGAGAACACATAGCATTTGTCCTCTTGGTCCTGGATCCAGGACCCTATTTATCCCTTCCCTTTCAGGGCCAATGATGGCTGCCTGTATGTCTTTGATCGAGAACAGAACCGGCGCACCCTTCAGGTATTGCTCCTGAGACTTAGAGTCTCTGCCTCCTGGCTCTTGGACTATTACAGGGGCCAGAAAGAGGTCCCAGATATCCTGGTCTCTTTCTCCCCTAGATTGAGTCCCATGAGGATGATGTGAATGCAGTGGCCTTTGCTGACATAAGCTCTCAAATCCTGTTCTCTGGGGGTGACGATGCCATCTGCAAAGTGTGGGATCGACGCACCATGCGGGAGGATGACCCTAAGCCTGTGGGTGCACTGGCCGGACATCAGGATGGCATCACCTTCATTGACAGCAAGGTGGGCTGGGAGGCAGCGCTGAACAGCTA